CTGAGTCCTCAGGAATGGCAACGCATGGGAGCTATCATGGGCGAAACAGTATACTCTGTTATGTACATGGTACTGCTCATGTCTCTAGGCGACGGTTACCACTTTCCATCAGATGGGCCGTCAGCTTGTTTGCCATTCTAAGTTGTATAAAAAAATCATACATTTTTCGACAAAGTTCGAACTGAGAGTTATAATGCTATAATAAATGGATAGACGGTTACATAGAGCGATACAAGCAAATTTTAAGGATTTTGTTTTTACTATTTAGTTATAGTACTTTAAAAGCTTCAAATAATCTCCGGATTAATCATTCTAGTAGTTATCTAATACCCTTTTATAATAATTAAAAATTTTAAACTCGCTTTCATAACTATCAAACTCTGGTTTCATCAATCTAAGCTTAATTAACATCGATCTGTAGACTTAACAAAGAAAGTATTTTAATTACTAGATATAAATTCAATTTATAGTTTAATTTTAATTATGTTACAAATCCTAATATAATGCTGTAGACATATTTCAGTAAAATGTACACGGTAATAATTACATGTATCCTAATGTTATGTGCCTACGTCTAGACTAAGTTTGACTTTTCAACAAATTCTGAATATTTACTCATATTGGCTCAATTTTATCTTGTTAAAGTTATGAACACTAAAAATTAAGTGTGTCATTATCAAAATTATTAAAGAGTAACTTTGTACCAAACTCGTCTGCATGGGTACCTCTGTCCCATTCGTGATATTACCGCGAAGCATTTGTGTCAACAGGGTTGTGTATTACTTTGAAGGGATACGATCATGACATGGTATGGAATCATAACATCTTAGTACTAAGGGAGCACCATGGGTAATGTATTTTGCGACGTGGTTTCAAATTCCAAAAAATATAAATATCTAGCTATTATCCAGCTACTTTATATACGTGTGGATTTCAAAAGTAGGAAAACAAATGAATTAGACCATTTTAAATAAAATATCAAGACAAAACATATCTGTAAAAACTATTTCTGAATCGATACGACTTCATAATTTTCAACAAAAGAGTATATTACTCTTAAAAGCCTGCAGCGCACCTACAATGACTCTAGTATTGCGAGTGATCATGGGCGGCGATAGTCACTTACCATCGGTGAGCCGGATACTCGTTTGCCTCCTGTGTTATATAAAAAAAAAAACAGCATTCAATTTGGTGCAGTAGTTTTTACGTGACATTGAAACAAACATACAGACAGACAGACACGTAGATAAAATTTCTAAAATTTATTGTTTTAGCTTCTATTACTTTTATTAATTACCTTATATGATTTTTTCTCAAATATATTTTATGTACATTTTATTATATTAGTAAGATGTTTAAATTTGACATTATCTTGGATATAGATCTTTCACAATTATCTTTATTTTTCTCCATCATTTTTGTTATTTCTGCCTCTTTTCCTGTCTCATCGGTCCAGCAGTTATATTCCTGAAAAAGATCGTCTTTAACGATAAGGCCGCCCATTGTTGCCTCTTTATCTCGTTTCATTATGGTTTGTATATATTTCTTTGAGGTGAACAATAGTTTCATTTTACATTCATTTCGCCACTAGTTCTCATCTGCTGTTTCGTTCATAGGCTATACTGATTAAATGAGATAAGTAATCGTATTTTTTTTAATCTATGATAATGAAATGGTAACCTTGCCTGCGCTGTCGGTATACACCAGAGGGAGACTTTGTACAAAAGTCGATTGGTTGGGTACCTCTGTCCCATTCGTGTTTTAACCGTGAAGCAGTTTTGTTTGCATGGCTGTGTTTCGGTTTGAAGGGTGGGATATGACAGTGAATTTACTGGGTACAGAGGAATAACACCTGAGTCCTCAGGAATGGCAACGCTTGGGGGGTATCATGGGCAAAACAGTATACTCTGTCATGTCCATGGTACTACGGTACTGCTCATGTCTATAGGCAACAGTTACCACTTTCCATCAGGTGGGACGTCAGGTTGTTTGCCATTCTAATTTGTATAAAAAAAAACACTGGCGGGGCACCAGTAAGGGATGATAAGTGAGAATGAAGCAGGTCAATCAGCCCATCGTGACAAATTCACCAATGAATCAATCACGATGGTTTCCAGGGGGAACCGTGAGGAGGTCGACCTGATAAGGTATATTTCTGGTAATAGGGTTGTTAATACCCCTTACCAACAATCCCATTTCCCCCTAAGTAATCGTATTAACAATGTACTTCTTCATTTAAAATACTCATAATGAATGAGAAATTACAGGGTTCATAGTCCTCGGGAACGGCAACGTTGGGTATCGACGACGACACAGTATACTCTGTTATGTCCATAGTACTGTTCATGTCTTTACCACGATTACCACTTTCTATTAACCGTCAGCTGTGTGCCATTATACGTCACATAAAAAATGTATACACACACTGTTCGCCATATAAAAAGGAATAAAACCACCTGCATTTCGGTCAATTAATATGAGTTTATCCCAGTCACGTGAGCAAAGTTGTGTTCACAGCTAGTAACATAAAAGACACCGGTCAGGTGTGAGTTGAATTTACACGCCGAGGGTTCTGTATATGAGATAAAATTACCTTTATACAGTTCTTATACGAAATAGTTATCTAATAGTTATCATTATTGATCCTTTCTTTCTTTTGACAATTTCTCAAAAATGATGCTTGTTAAACGCTGTTTTATTTTTCCTATAATATTCTGAATAACTTCTGAAATAAAGAGAAGGATTGGTTTTTTCTCACATTTTCGATCATAAGTAAAACTTATATAAAAAAAATAGAAATCATTTGCCGTTTCTAACAAAGAAAATAAAAATATTTTTTCAATTATTTCTATTCAAATAACTATATGTAAAACTATTTCAAATTTTAAATCAATACCGTTAGTAGCTGCTGAGATATAGCACTGTGACATACGGACAAACGGATGGACATAGCACCACAAAGGTTCCATTGTACCTTTTTGGTACGGAATCTTAAAAGGAAATTATTCAACCTCAGCTTCGTTAACAAACCAAAATGCGTTTTTCTATCTCATCCCAAACGCTCCCATAGGACACTCCGCGTACCTAATATGTATGATCCATATCATTTTGACATGCTTATATCCTGTGGAATGTTTTTGACAACGGTCAGTGAAAAGCACATTTGAAGAGTCGAGGCTTGAGGGATGACGTCAACAAAATGTCACAATAGCTTCCTTGATTTACTATCCACTGATGTTGATTTATATAAAAATGGACACAAGTCTGAGAGATTGTCGCGTCGAAATAAAGAAATGTATAAATTTTCCTTATCCTGCTAGGAAAAGTTTTTGCATTTTTTTGTAAGAACAAACCTTATTGTGTTTGCATTTTGTTATAATGTAAGATTTCTAATATTTACATAAAGGTTTCGGTCCCACTTGCAATATACAATATAAAATTAATTGATTTTTTTTTATAACACAGAAGACAAACGAGCGTGCGACTCATTTGATGGTAGGTGACTACCGCAGGCCTATAAGCATCCGCAACACCAGAGGCATTGCAGGTGTGTTGCCGGCCTTTTAAAAAGAAAATACTCTTTCTTGAAGATTCTTTATGGGGAGAGATGTTTTTTTTATACTACTATTGTGAAAAATGTCGTATAGAAAATAGTGTTTAACAGATATTATAAAAAAATATTAGATATTCCTAACTTCCAAACGTGGTAGATAAATAGTTAAATTTTTTCAAAGAACTTAATGAAATCAAATTAATAATTTACCCGACCATAAGATGAGTCTAATGATATTTAATAAAAGTAGAAATAAAAATAATAATTAATTTATTAACTACTACTCCTGTTTTGAATTTGTTATTGATTAGTACTGATTACATTTCATATTTCTATGATAACAAAAAATTTTGTTTTACTTTTTATTAGATTGTATTGAAACGGGCTATATAGGAACTTTTATGTGAATTGCATGTTCTGAGCTGAACCAAATCTGTGATCAAACACCGCAGTTTCTTTATATTCAGAAATTTAATTTGAACTTTTTTCTTTTTCATATTATAATTTGCGTTGTTAAGAATGCAAATATTTGTTGAAGGTATTTTTATTTCTAATTGTATTTTTAAACAACTTCAAGAGAAAGACGTTCACAATTCGTATATCTTTTTGCAGTTTGGGTGCCAAATGGTTATTTTTCTTTTTAATGAACGACAATGGAATGGTAATCCTGTCTGCCCTAACAGTGTTATGTAACTGGTGGGGTAAGGGATGGTAGATGAGAATGAAAAGGCAGGTCAGTTAGCCCATCGTGACAAATATACTTGGAATTCAGCACGATAGTTCCTAGGAGGGCCACGTGGAGATCGACCTAATAGGGTATATTGCTAGCAAATGAAACTAATAGTCCGTATTACTAACAATCCCTTCCCCCTTATTTTATTGTATTAGTAAGACATAACATATCAATAAATATACTAGCATAGATTCATTGATATAAAAAAGTGAAATTATTAGAAAGTAAAATGGACAAGTAATTTTTCATACTTTTTTTGTGAAAAGACGTTCATTTTTATTGGTAAAACACTGTACAATATAATATTTGAATCTTTCGTTTTTATTGGATACAGGAATATATTGAAGTTTTTTATTTGCGGAGTAGCATTGTGCGAAGAATGTATATTATGTATGAACTTAAATATACATTGTTTGTACAATATTAATATAAAGTTGTTGCTTCGTACACTTTATTATAATAATTAAAACTTGATAAACTTAGAATTATTCATTGTAATAGTTTTAATTTGTATTTTGTATTGTGTTTTTATATTGTTTGATTTAAGTAAGATACAAAATTAACTGAACTACATCTATTCCACGAGGATATTTTTTCTAAAATCATTGTTTATTTAGATTTAGGTAATTATAAAATTAAATAATAAAAATATAAATGGTTTCGATATAAATGATATTACGAGATACAGGTTCAAAATGATAGTCATTATATTTTAATGTAAGCAATATATTTAAAAATAAAATCAACATGGTTAAATCGAATTCCATGAATATAAAAATAAAATAAATTTATTGTAATCTAATATTGTATTATAATATATGCTAAATTCAGTACATACTTTTAAAAGATATACAATACATATTTACATACTTAAAAACCTTCTGAACCTTTAAAAAAATTTTTGAAAGATTTAATAGCAAGAAGTGCTATAAGTAGATAATAAAAGTTTTAAAAGATGTATAAATAAAAGATTATTTGTTACTTTTTGACACTAAAACTACTAAATTACACAGTGGTAAAGTTAATTCGAAATCCAAAAAATTGAACACTCTGTTCTCTTGCGGAAATTATAACAGGCTGTAGTTGTAAAGTTACCGGAAATTTCTAGCTGGTAAAAAAAGACTGCGGGATTGTAAAACCTAAGACACACCATTTTGTATTAGAAATTATATGAACATTTCATTAAATTTGATCACTGGATAAGACCCAACACGCGTGCTCTATCCAGCCAGTCAGAACGCGAGACGTAGCTACCGGCCAATACTCTCGTGCCAGTGAACCCAGTCCTTCCATGGAGTACTCGAAAGTTGTCCATTACCATCACTGTACCTGTGAGAGATTACGTGATTAATATTACAATATTCATCAAAACGTAATTATTAAAAGATTCGTAAGCACACACTATATTTTAATATAATAACTATCGGTTTAACTTATGTATAATTAGATTGTAAAAGCTCGACCAGTTTCGGAATCAATTCGTTATCCTTAATCATGAGCAACGATGACGCAAATTCGAGCCTGACTACGTGCCTCGGCTCGCTGAACGCGAGCTGTAGGCGCCTGCGGCATCAAATTATCTGCAGATAAAAAAAACAGCGTTCGGAACTCATTTGCCATTGATTAAGTTGTTAAGACGTCGTGTACATATAGTGCTCATAGTGACGCTCTTCAACTCATGACTAAGGATTACGAATTGATTCCGAAATTAGCCAAGCTTTATCTACCTAATTACATGTAAGTTAATCCGGTAGTTATTACATTAAAACATAATTTGGGCAATTAAGAAAATAATGTGGATTTATAATTAAGGTAAACAAACAAGCCGACGCACGTCATTCCACCCCATGGAAAGTGATAATCATAACTGTTGCTTTAAGACATGAATAGTAATATCATATAATATACTTTGATATCGTGATACCCCTTCGTAATTATTATTATTAAGGATTTAGATTGTACTTCGATATCGTAAACTGCATTTTACTCGTATAATTTCACACTTTGAACATAGTTGCTTGGCAGCGTGAGACATAGAGGTACTCTTGTAAATTACTTTTATATAAATCCTCCCTTAAATAAAATAAAATTTGTTAATAATAAAAACAAATAACATTTCGAAACTAGTCAGGCATTTCCGAATTTAAAACGTTTGCTCACATTTAAATAATTAAAAATCAAGTTTATTCATAAAAAACGATTAAAGGTCGAATCGAAAAGTAATTTTGGCCAAGACGAAGGATTAGGAAACTAAAAAAATAAAATTTACGAGTTTCAAGAACATCATAATCGACTTATGAATTCTATTACTTTTTTTAATACTACAGTTGGGAACAGGACTAGGTACTTGTTCAGGGAGAATAAGAGCGGAATGTTGTTGTAAAATCAAGTTTAGCCCGACAATTTATCGAATATATCAATCCAATCTATAGACCATTAATGAAAATTTTAAACTCTTCACTGGCAAGGGGCATATGGTGTTGTATGAATGACAACAATTAGGTGCGGATAACGCGGCCCATGAGCCACATTAATGGAATTTTTGTTCTTATAAGACCGATGCCATTTGGTTTTTTATTCGTTAGAAAATCGATTCCAAAAATGTTGCTTGAGCAGCTCGATGCGTTGAAATCGCTTGAAGCGGCGGTCGACAATTTCTGGATGTGGCAAAAAGATGATAGACCGTCTAATAAGGAAGTGGGCAGGAGTAAGAGGATAAATATCAGAAGGATTGTCGGAAATAGGTGTGATAGGACGAGAATTTAAGATGGCTGTCAATTTGAATAACATAGCCATTTCTTCATAAATGAGTCTTTCTAAAATGCCTAAGAAGATGCTTCGTTGATCCACACTTGGCAGGAATAAATGAAAAGTTTATACCTTGTTCGGCCAAATCCGTAGACAACTCAGATTGTTTGAGGGCTTGGAGAGCTCATGAAATCCCAACAAAGGTAGTGCCGTTATCCGAAAATATATAACAAACAGATGCGCCGCCTTTTGGCAAAACACACAAACACACAAATGTAAGATTTTATAATTTTGCAGCCCCTACCCTTGCGATCAGCTATCAGCACTGGACCGGCATAATCGACGCCTGTTTCTAGGAACGGAAATTCTAGATGGACCCGTTTCTCTGGTAGGTTACCCATCATGGGCTGAATGGTTTTTCCCTTGAACCTAGTGCACCTCGAACTATACGTTTTGCTAAGTTGAGTCCTCCTATAGGCCAATAATTATGTCTAGCAGTGGCTAGTAATAACTACGAGTGCACATATTGAATATTAATTCACACGAGACAAAAGAATGGGATGTTTGACATTGTAGTCATAATGAGGCCTGCCACCCACGCGGATGAGGTTATTCTATAAACGGTGATAATGACCTACATTCTGCTTGTTTGACAAGGTAACTCACGTTCCTCAGGGAATGAATCTTGCTGAGCTGTACTATCATTATTTAATTCAATATGGAATTCCATTATTGTCTTAAGACAAATGCAATATTGCAATTTGAAAACTTGTCAATTAAAGATGAAATTAAATTACCTTTATGATTAATTAAATTACTGTCATCTGTGTGAAATGATTTTCAATATTATTTGGATTTATTGATGAAATAAAAATTATTACTGGATTTGATTTTGAGAGTACATAACGCCATTCGTGAGAACCTTCCTGTATCTCCACACCAAAAAATGGGTATAGAGTCATGTGGGGTCCAAAATAAACGACTGAATTCAAGAGTAACCGATGTAATCACCTTCTTTAGTTAAGCGCGCTTTCAAGAATAAAAGATTTTGATAATTTTTGAAAGACGGAAAAAACTTCGCTAGATTATTTATATACATTATAAACATTGTAAATATATGAGAAGAAAAACAAAATATAAAATTTCATTTTTTCTAACAATAACTATTAGTTTTATTTAATCATTTAATGAACAATTGTGGACAAAATAAATCTCTTGGTTAATTTATCTTGAGGAAATATTTAGAAAATTTGGTCCCGACATTTCAATGAATACCTAATGTTTTTGCACACTCTTTTGAAAGTATCCGCACACCTTCGGTTAAGTGTACGCACGTAAACTTAATTTGTTATTGCACAAAAATCACATGTGAATGTATCCTCTTCGTAACTGGTACAGGCGTCGTGCCATCAAGGTAACAGATATACCATAACTTTATGGCTTTGTGTCTCTAAAACGTCTACTGTGCTTATAGAGTTCAAAGAAGGTATATTTCGAGCTATAGCATCAGCAGATAGATTACACATATCAGTAACTGCAGATGGTGCAAATTCTGATTTTTTTTTGTAAATAATATCGTCTTCCACGCTCAGAAACCATTCTTTGAAAATCAACTCTCCATAGAAACTACAAAACGTCCTTCTTTGTTGCGCTGTGTAGAATTCATAAAATCCGATTTTCACCGCTCATATTTAGATGAAATTGTATCTATTCCCAAAAACGAGTTAAGTCTGTAGAATTATTCTGTAAATTATTAGAAAACATACATACATAGATCTGAACTGATAGTGCCAGAAACCAACCAACCAAATTTGGTTTCAAAAAGAGTATATTCCTGGATGCGATTTTTAAAAGCGTCCGGCAACACACCTGCAATGCCGCTGGTGTTGTGGGTGATCATGGGCGGCGAGAGTCACTTACCACAGGGGGCAAACGAGCATGCGGCTCGTATGCTCGTTTGCCCCCTGTGTTGTAAAAAAAAAAAGGATATATTCCAGTCATCCTGAATGCTCAAGCTGCGTTACCTACAGTAGCAATTTTTTTAAGCACGCTCTGTGGAAAATAGAGAGTTACTTGGTATTGATTAATAGATCTACCAGGATGCTGTGCCATCCATTTATCAGCTTTTTCAAGTGCGTACTGATTTTTTAGAGGACTGTAAATGGTTCTATTGAAGGGTTATATTTTGTGACTAGTCTGTGAGGTGGCAATGTAAATACAACGATGTTATTCCCTCTGCAATACAAAGTAGCTTGCAAGGTAATATGGCTTGAATAATTGTCAATAATCAGTATTGGTGAAGTGCATTCCTTGAAGTGTACCAGCCACTGAAAATATAAATCCGCGTTTGGTGAATCCGAAATCAGATGTCATGCCAATGCTACCAGCCGGAGCTCCGTCCATAAGTTCACCCTTCATTCTTTTTCGAGGAAAAATAAATGCAGGCGGAATATATTTCCATTTTATTGCATTAACACAACTGAATGACAGCATTACTACAGCTGAGCTATTTTTTAATATATTATGTTTGACCACGTTTAATTAATTGAAACAATTTTGTCAATCAAGATATAGGCAAATAAAATTAAAAATGACTGTAATAAAAATAAATATATTTTATTCTTATTTTAATTAATGCAAATTGGACACTGTGATTACCCACAGATGGACACTTACAAAGTCCCATCCCATTAAAGCAAATAAAAATAATAAAATTTCTGTTAATTAGTATGACTTACCAGATTGATGTAATTTAGACAAAATAAATAGATATCACACAAAATATTAAATAACTTCTGTTTTCAGTCACTTTATTATACAATCATACTAATAACATTGCTTCAGTAACTATGCAAATTAATTTTAATAAGAAAAAAATAACAAATCCTAATGGAAAGGTTAAATGATGATAATATGATGATGGAAAGCAAAAAAGATAGATAATGCAAAAGCAATACTTTTTGTTTTGCTGTGTAAGTTTCTACAGCATTGTGCAGCAAACCTGTGACGTACTACTCTCGCTTGGTGGTCAAGTGCTAACTAAACGCGACAGGTCTCGACCTGCTGTCATCCATGGGGTTTGCAGAATGTTCACTGCGGACACTTTTTCGCCGCGTACGTTTACCCCACATGACTCTACTTTGCTTTTTTCTTTTATTTTTATTTTGTTACTCGTAATTTACTGTAGATAAAAACAAAGGTTAAACGAATAACACTATTGTAAGCATGATATTGTCTAGTCTCTCGAGAGACGTAAAAACCTAAACAATATCCTAATGGTAATAGTAGCAATGACCTCTATATTGCATAGTTGTAAGTTCAAACTCCTCAAGCTTAAAATATTTTAATAATAAACAAATAAAGCAATATTAAATTAAAAACTATTTTTATTAAGAGTCTTTAAAACGATGATAAAAAAATAAAATAAAAGATATTCGTGAGTCGAGAAAACTATCATGGCTATTAGTTTCGAATGCATACCACTCGCATTTTTTTTTCATTTTCTATTTTATATCCCTCAATAATATTTATTTCATTTCTGTTTTCGAAAGAGAGGCAATTTTTAGTGCCTATTTAATTTTAAACACGGTCATAAAATGTTATTTATAATTACATAAAAAATAAACTAAGCAATATACACATTTCCAAATGTATGTATTGTTTAGTTTATTTTTTTGTACAATATAAATCTTCGAAATAATAAAATGTATTTGAAGATTTTTATAAACACAAAAATGCATTAACTAAGAGGGAACGGGAAATAATGATAAGTAAAACACATAAAATGAATTACAGCAATTACATACATACAACAATAAAAAGTATAGGATACCTGGCCACAACTTGAATTGCCATTGATTTTTCGTATCTTCATAGTACCGCCCTAAGTTCCTGAGGGATCGATAGTAAGCTCTACAATCTTCACTGCTGGTAAACGCCATCGGCGATCGGTCATACACATTGTATCTAATAAACAGGGAAGTGAGAGTTACTTTAATCCTCTTACCAATTAATTTGGAATTATCTCAATTCGACTATATTATTTATATACTATTTTTTAGAGGCAAATATTTTCTATGTCATTTATTAATAATATAGCTTTCTATACATGAAAACTTTTTAAAATCGGTTAAATAGTTTTGGAATGTATCCATTACAAACCAACAAACAATCATATCTTGCCTATTTATATTATGAATATAGATATATGTTTACTAGTTTTTATCTGCGACTTTGTCTCCGTGACTGAGCCGTTAAGGCGCCAAAAGGTAACACACAAACACATCAATTCTAATTATTCCATTTTTTAATTCAAAACTTGCCATAATTAAAGTCGAGATTTAAATCAACTAATTGCTGGGTCTTAGTCCTATATTAATTTTATAATGAGTAGTTTTGAAAGTCTTGCATTATTCTAAATTAATTATTTAATCACCTGATCTGCGCCGGATCATTCGTTTTCGCATCGATTTTGATAACTGGTGATGAAAATTTGTGGTGATGTCCCTCCTCTATATATTCGGCTTCGATATTGAATTTAGTCAGAAAAGCGTAATCTTCAGGGAATTCATGTCTTAAACGAGTTGCACCGTAAAAACCATCCACTAAAATAGTATCTCCACCTTCTCCGTTGGAATGCTCGAGACAATGAAGAATTTGTAGTCTGAAAGTAAAAAAAGTACAAACTAATATAATATGTTTTTATGAAAATTAAAGTTGCAAACAATTTGACGGCTCATCTAATACAGTGCGGCTATACGTAGGCAGTGCATTTTTGAATAGAGAAAAAAATAAAGCAATATTTGATAAATTCATATAATATAAACATACACATAATATATTAAATAAATAAATAAATACATACATAAATAAATACATAAAATATTACTATATAAAACAATTAAATAAAACAACTACAATAGAAGCTTAAAGAGAAAATGATTTTTCTAAGAAATAGGTGCGCAATTTGTGTTTAAAAGTTTAAAAGCTACTCGTAGCTTGCTTAGGGTAGATCTTATGTCAAGCGAGAGTGTGTTCCAGTATTTAATAGCTTAAACAATGAAGGAATATATATATATATATATATATATATATATATATATATATATATATATATATATATATATATATATATATATATATAAATGAATATAAGGTTTAAAAATAGTATTCATATCTTCCATAAGAAACTTTAGCATACCAAGAAATGAGTGATTAGGAAGTTGATTGATGGAGACATATTAAAATTGTTTCTTCTCCATGGCTCAATTTTTAGATATTGCACTGAGATGATATTAAAAAGTTATACGATATTCAAAATTATTAATAGACTTTTATTAAAATTTATTACGACTAAGTTAGCTTATACAAGCTCTTTACGTGTATTTAATTTTGGGTCGGCAACGCGCGCGTAATACCTCTGGTATTGCAGGTGTTCATAGGCTACGTTAACCGCTTACCATCAGGTGGGCCGTCTGCCTGTTTGCCACCTCAGTGGTATAAAAAATATACTTTATTGTACAGATTAATAATACAAAAAAAAAAAGACAGAAATAGCCAAATGTACAAAGGCGAGCTTAACTCAAAAAAAGTTCTCTTCTAGCAAATCCAAAGTAGAAAGGAGCATCAATGTCAGCAGGTAAAGCAATGTACAATATTGTGACAATTTTCATACAAAAATAAATAGGAAAACTTAAGACAACAAATTATATCATATTTAATCGTATTTACATATACATAAATATGTACTTACACACATATCTATATGCTCTTTAAATCTACATTTAAAAATATTGAGGGATTAACTCTCATGGATAGGCATGAAAAGAGAATTAATTTAGTTCAATATATTTCAGTAAAATTAAATCGCTTCGTCCATTAAATCTGTCAATTAATCTAAATTCTTCAATTTTATGACACCATTATTATAAGATTGCCGAAATCCAATTTCATTAATGATTTGATAGGTGCAAGACAATCTAATTTTATGGTCGTTCACTTTCACGGTAGACGCGTCCGGAATTAATATTTCTTTAACGAGCCGTAAGATGTCTGCCTCAAAGTCATTTTGGACGGAAAAATTATAATAAATTATTTTCACAATAATATCTTTTATTTTCAACCGACTTAAAAAAAAAGAAGATTCTCAATTCGGTTGTTACTTTTGTACTACTGATTTTTTTATATTCATTATACCTCATAACTCTGTCAGTTGTAAACAGATTTTATTTTTTTTTTATCTGAAAGGATATGCTTACAGGTAGAAATTTTATCAAAATCGAATCAGTAGTTTAGTTTTAAACTAAAATAATTAATTTTGCCCCAATTTAAGTCGATATTTTTTGTGGAACAATTTAGACCGTTGAGGCTTAGTGGTAATAAATTAGTAAACTTGTTGACCTCAAGGATTGTTAATTTTATCCTGGCTGACACGGTTACATAAGCCAATGAAAATCTGCAATACCAGGGGCATTAGGCGCGCATGGAACCTCAACAAGGAAATCATTCCATAAACTGAAGGTTCTTGGGAGGAAGCATCTCTGAAACTGCGCTGTACGTGACCATCCAGACTCAAAGGTATGAGAGGTGAACTCCTTGTCGGTGTCGATACGAGTGATAGCATTAAATTCACCCCTACCATGAATTCTAATTAATACTTGGTCCCGATAAAGCGAATTTAGTTATTATTTTCTATCTTTATTCTATAAAATAAATTATATATTTAAAGAACGCTTTATTGTACACTTATGTGATAAAAATTCAATTTCAATCTTTACACGTTTCGTTCGTACAATTTACTAACTTAACCTAAACGTCGCATTTCGATTGCCACACGTAGGTATACAGTGAAGAAAAAGTGGAATCATTGAGGAGCCCTGAGGGAAATGCTTAACAGAATATGAAAACAAGCAACAAGCGAAAGCTTTTTCGAATAGTCCCTGAAATAATAATGACAGGGGATCCCAGCTGAAGTGGGTACCAGATAGGCAAGGCAAGCCCTTGAAAAAATAACTAACTCCATTATTGTGCAAATCAAAATGGTTTTGCGGCGTGTACCCGGAAGCTTCGGAAGCTGTTGAATCAACTTTTAATTAAAATAAAAGTATTGTGTATGATAATACATGTTAATTTTTTTTTATATGCTATTTGAACTGTATTTTAATACACTAATTAACTGTTTCTGCCTAACTAAGCTAGCAGATTTTCTATGCAAAGTAATATTATTATTTTTAATTTAAAACTAGCTTTCACCCGCGATTTCTTCCACTTGAAGCTTATGCCCTTCTCTTTTCCATATTGTACCTATATACTCGTGCTACAATTTCATAGAATTTGGTTAAGCCGTTAAAACTCCAAGAGATAACAATGTAACTTTTACAATATTAGTAAAGATAAATAAAACACAAATATGAACACCGACTAGTTTCATATGTTGATAGATTAGATATAAAATGTTATATTAGAACTTATAATTTACAGGAACGTGAGAGCCTGTGTTCACATGTAAATTTATCTCTACGATGGAAAAGCGGTGACCAAAGATGTCGCGTTTTAATTAATTTTTAAATTATTTTATTATTCAATTACTATTAAAAACTATTTAGAATTGATGATAATATTGCATGTTGCAGTTTCAATTTAATACGAGTAAATTATGTAGAATATTATAATATAAATAAAATATTATATTTTTTTTAAATGGATGATAATGGAATGGTAACCCCACCTGCGCTATCGGTATACACCGGCGGGGCACCAGTGAAGGATGATAGGCGAGGATGAAGTAGGTCAGTTAGCCCATCATGATGAATTCATCAGGAATTAACCAAGAACGAATTCAACAAGAATTGTTCACGATGGTTTCCAGGGGAACCACGTGGAGGTTGATCTAATAAGGTATATTGCTAGCAATGGGGCTGTCAAACTCCATTGCTAACAATCCTTTTCCCCCTAATAAATATATAATTGATTAATCGCATTTCCATCACAAGAATTACAGTTTTCAACGTCGTTTAACGTGTACAACAACAAGACGTTATAAAATCACAAAATAGCCACCTATTACATTCTAAAGGATATACGAAACGTATTTTCTGTAAGTTAACAGAAAATTATTGCAACTTGGATAAGTTTTCAAATCAAATAAAGTGAACTGAACGTAAAATTTTATTGCGCCGGTTGAATCCAATTGAGCACTTTAGTATGCGATCAACACATTACAATTTATATTTCTTTTTTTATAATTTGCTTATTTTGTTATCTATCTATTCATAGATGTACATATATGTTTTGTGAATACCAGTAGATATTTAATACATTATCTTATTAACATCTTACTAATAGGCACGGATAACATCCGATAAAACAAGGATATAATCAACAATTTCTACTTGGTACCTACGGGATTATATTATGAATTTTCCTTCTCTTACTGTAGTTTTGATTTTTAGTAGTAACTCATACATGTACTTACCTACCATTTAAATTGTTGTAAAACTTACAATACATAGACCAAGAAATTGATGATTATTTGATACGCATTATTACATTTTCAATAAGATTAAAAAAGAGTATTTTCAATTCAACAGATTTTTTATGTTATGGATTTTTATCTTCATCATGAATTTATTACCATTTTGTTTTTTTTTTTCTTAATAATTCTATTAAAATTAAAATATGTATCCCATTGTATAAATAAACAGTATAAATTTTTCTTTTATCACATATTTACCATAAGTGCCTATTAGTAACTAAAGGGAACTTCTCATTTTTAAAACTTAAAAGAACATCATTACCCCAAAAATATTTGGAATAGGAAAAAAGTAAATGTTTCCACAGACCAGCCATGCAGAAGAATAAACGGCGCGACACGAAACTGACTAAAATTAATGTGGAAAATCCTTTTTCATTCGCTACTTCCTTTATCATTTTATTAGAGTAGATTAAATAGAGTAGATTAATTATTATTAAGACATTAGAGTAGATTAAATAAAGAGTAAATAGATATTTACTACCTATCTTTTTATATATTATAATAAGTTACTCTCCAGTTTTTATCGATACCAAATAATAACACAATTCGAGCTTCTCTTTCTTTTTCTCTCGCTCTGTGTGTGCGCACGTGTGCATGAGAGTGTGCGTGTGCGCGTACATGTGCATGTGTGCGTCTGTGTATGTGTGTACTTATTTTAATGCAAATTGACTTTTTTTTCTCTGTGATAAAGGTACTTTATTATTTTTATCAAATAAATTATCTTAAGAATTTATTCCTTTAGTACTATTTGAGATTAAAAGAAATCGATTATCATTGGTTGTATTATTAAAAATAGAGATTATCCGTGGATAAATTTTGTTCGTGCATCTTTCCACAAGCTTAAGTTTTAATTATTAAGTAAAATAAATTGTAGATGTTACTTGTTAATTTCTCAAAATGTGATTGTAGACATTATATATTCACACGCCATTATATGAAATAAATGACGTAAATATACGAGTATATTCAGAAAATAAAATATGTTTGGCTACTTTCAATCTCAGAAACAATTTAGATAATTTAGTTTATACGGAGGATTTATTTTGTTAATTTAATTGATATTTTGAGTTGGAAATAGCTAAAAATAGACCTTTCGCAAATCAAATCCTTCGGGATCCAGTTTTGATGTGCGTATACGTAAATAGCAGAATCATCTGTCATAAAGATAATGTCAACGGTTCAGGAAATTTGTTCTAAATTTGTTCTATCTGATGTTGAAATCTATATTTGTTCCCAGAATATCAAATAAATTTATAAATGCTTTTATATACGACCTCCAGCCGGCGAGACACTTTATACAGTTAGACTATGTACGCTTTTGCACGATTTTATTTTTCTGTTTTACCCTTCTGAACACTAACATTCATTAGTAAAATATTTTAAACATAGCATTTTCAAAAACGCATTGAAAATGGCTTATTCTTTGGAGAGCAGCGAAGCAGTAAAAGAGGGATCTTCAAATAGAACTTACCTTTTTATTAATTATGAGTTGTAGTATGGAAATTGTAATTTTATATTCTTTCGACACATGATATTTTCCTTTGATTTTCCTATTAAGATTTAATCATATTTATCTCTGTTACATAGATATAAATTGATTTATTTTTTGATATTTTAAGATATATTGACATTAAATAAAATAAATTGATGTTTAATTATATAATATATACTAATAATTTGGGTTAAGTTAGAAATGGGAAATAAGAACACAAACATGCTCCAAAAAATAGAAATTATCTGATTTTCATGAAACACAGCTTTGCAAACACAACTGCTTCACTGTAGAAACACGAATGGAACAGTGGGCGCAATCGACTTTTGTACAACGTGTGTGTGTGTGTGTGTGTGTGTGTGTGTGTGTGTGTGTGTGTGTGTGTGTGTGTGCGGGTGTGTGTGTGTGTGTGTGTGTGTTTTTGTTTTTGTATGTGGACTAAAAAGTGTGCATGTTATATTGCGATCGAAAATATAAAAATATATTTTGATTACCCAGTCGATTCCGTGAAGTATGTACTATCATTGTGCAATGCAAGCGGTATATTAGTATAAGCAGTATCGGCGTGATCTGCTCTCGTCGTAAACTGCCACATGCCTCCGAAAATAGTATGTTGCACACCACCTAAGGCTTTACAGACTACTTCCGTATCTTCAAGTGTAGCATTTACCTGTAATAAAAAATAATAACATATAAAGAATAAAGATGATTTCAGATTGAATTTGAAACAATTTGCAAATTAATATATTGCTCACATTTACATGTCATTTTAAAAATCAGATTGACATGATTCTGACCAAATTATACATATTTATTCCTTACAATATTAATAACCTTAGGATTATTTAAAATCCAATAAGTTATAGTAGAATGTTTTAGGAAATATGAAATCTAGTTTAGTCATATATAGAAATATGAAGTCTAGTTAAATACATAAATCTTTATATATTATATATTTGTATAATCATATATAATAACGGTGAAAACGTTGTTAAAATAATTATTTAAAAACTTTGAAAAATTTGAGTAATTTGCCACCCATTTAATAAATAAATAAAAAATTAACGTCCCCTTTAGGTTAAAATAAATAATAAAAAAATGAAATTCCAAACAAACTCGATAAGGGTCTAACAGCATAAATAAGTAAATACTTCGAAAAGCTTTCCAAAAACAATCTCCATACCAACTATAAACTGATAATAAATACTCTTAATTACTTTATTTTACATCGTATACCTATGAATTTATATACTAATCGAAAGGTATGGTAGTCTAGGTATGCACACCTGCCAAAAACCGAGAATTATCATACCCAATATTGTCCCAAAAACCTTTGTCCTTCCAGGAATCCTAACAACCTTCCACCACAAGACACATCACTAAATTAAATAGGTATCTTTGGTTTATTGTAATTTAAAAAAATAATGTAATAAAACTTATCTTTGAATTTCTACACCTATAAGAGTTTTCCTTATCTCAAAAAAATATTAAACAACGGAAATCGAAGCCAGCTTGTCAGGAAATTGTTTCAACGAGGATTACTTATAAAGATGCAACCAATAAGGCGATTTTTTTCATCTTTCTAGCTCTCAGTAAATAATGATTGTTGAATAAACTTATGGCTGATAAGTACCATTTGTTTAAAAAAATTACATTATTTGAACTATTATGTAGGTACATTTCTTTATGATGTTTAGAATAGCAAACAAGCGGACAGTCTACCTGATGATAACTGTTGCCTTTAAACATGATCAACACCATGGACCTTACAGAATAAGTTACTATGTTTAAGATATCCCTCATGCGTTACCATTAATAAAGACTACAATGTTATGCCTCCGTACCCTTTAATTTCAGTGCCATATTCCTACCTTCAAACCATAACACGGCTATGTAAGTACAGCTGCTTCAGGGCAGAAACACAAATGGGACAGAGGTACCCGTGCAGACTTCTGTACAAAGTCTCTCTTTGGTTGACAATTTTTTTTATCTAAAAGGACAGTAAACAAGCATGCTTTTCACTTTATGGTAAGTGATTACTGTAACCCATGGACACTAACGACACCAAAAGAATCGCCAATACATTGCCTGCCTTTTAAAGTTTGGTTAATGACTTTAGTACATATTCGTATTTCCATTAAAGAGGACGTTCAAGTATTACGTAACGCAATTTTTGAAGATTTTTAACCTTAGTATAACGCATAAACATTTTTTCAGTAACTCCCTACCTAACACCTTCTAGCCTCCTTCTTTTAATTTGTTAGTCTTTTGTTTAAATAAAAAAGGTTCTTCAAACCCCTCTCTATCTGTTTACTGTTACATCACACATATTGAACAAGTTTTAACAAGTACCATTTCATTAAACAAACGTTTACCTCTTCTATTAAGGCGACTCCATAGTCTAGAAGCGACTGAAACACGCTCCTGGCTCCGTCCTTAGTATTAAGAAACTTATCGACATGTATTCTAGTTATTTTAGTAGCAACTTCATCGCCATGCCAGAGAACGGGTTTGAGTTTACGTCCATCATTCCACTTTTTATAATCGAACTGCGCTAAAAAGTCGGCTTCGAAAATCGATGTGTGACCGTCATCCCCTGAAAATTATTTTAGAAATATATTCCAATAAGAATATGTATAATTGCATTTTGTAATCAGAGTACTGTTTCTAATACTAGTATAAATCGAATATCAAATGAAATTATAAAATACTAAATAATTGTATTATACAATATTTAGACATAAAGTAATGCCTAGGAGGTACATGACACTATTAAAATCTGCCATAAAAATATCCAATATTTATTTAGTATTTTATGAACCCATGAAATAAACTACTAATGTCATCCTCTTATTTGCTTTTATTAATAATTTTTAGTAATGTCTAATTCAAATATATAAAAGATAGAATAGCACTAAAATTGAAATTGTCCATACAACTTTTTCTTTAATTGATTTATTTTTATACATCTACAAAAAGATATTATTTTATCTGTGTATTGTAAGCTATTAAAAGTTGCCATATAAAGAACGTATTTATTATGAAAAGAGTTTTTAGGCATTATTAATTTTCTATTTTATTATAACTTGCCCGTATAAAATTTAATAGTGCAGTTCATTCATTTTATAAATACTATGTAAATAAAAGTATAGAGGTAAAATAATATCTAGCAATTTTGGATAGATTTACGTAAACTAACTTAGTATTAAAAAAGAAATAAAAAACGTTTTCTGCCTATTATTAACTAACACTTACATGTTATTATAACTTGATTCTCGTTATATTTCAATGAAACAATTTTCGAGTCTGGAATGTCTAAAATATGCTTAGCCCGTTGAAACGTATCCGCGTGGTAACAAGAAGTACACCTTAAATAAATTAAACAACAACTTAACAATGCGAGCGGAATATTCAAACGTTAGTATATACTCGTTGGCTGAACTAAATTGAACAGGAAAATAAAGGGATTAAACGATTTTCAATTGACTTCGACAAGAATCTCATTTGGTTCCAATCTTTATTTTTTTTTCTGTATTATTTCTTATCTTCGACAATCTTGTACCGATTTTGACGATTCATTTTTGTAATTGAAAAGAGTTACTCTCCTTTTATTCTCTTTTCGTTATGTTATCAATTTTGTAAAGATTTTAGTCTATTTTATTTTTATGGAAAACATCTAAGTTATTTTTACATATATAAACAAAAATCTTCGGCGAATTGTAATTTCAATAGTGAAAAGTAGTTAAATATCTTCAATTAATTTCTTTGTTTGTTGCTGTAATAATTATTCTAATAAAAATATGACTAAAAATGTAAAGAGTTTGATATCAAAATCATTGAAGTTTGAGCTTTCCATACTAATTGGGTCCGTTTTATTAGTATGGAAGACTCAAAATTTTTTATCGTTAACGATCCATATTTCCACAAAAAACTCCTCCTATTCCACTAACAAAACCAGCCTTTGAAATAATTTTAATTATTCCAATTTTACATTATATCCCCTTTAGTAAAACGATCAAAGACTAGACAAAGTATTAGTAGCTCAGTACTCACCTGCAATGATCTCTAAGCCAACAATCTTCAAATCTTATAGAATTAGCTTTTTCTAATTGAATCTCAATAGCTCTGTCTATAATTTTCGCTTCTCGGATTGCTAAATAATTAAAAAGGTAATTTAATAAATTATACCTAAATGTACATATTGTTTAAAAATCCATCACTTTCCTGCATCTACACGCATATAATATTATAGCAACATTTCTAAAGTTAAAAATATATATTTCATTCGATAAATCGCAAAACAAAAGAATGTTTATTGTATTATTAATTACAGTTGTTATTGTGTCTAAATATATTTTATTAATATTTATATGTACAATAAGAAATTTCCATTATTATCTTAAAAATGGAGTAGATATCATAAAATTCTAAAAGTAATGAAGTGCGTGCAGGTGAAATAGCGAGCAGAGTTAGAAAGATTTAACTTCAAATAATCTTAATTTCGACCCAAGTGTATAACTAAGTTGCTCAACAAAATTCCTTAAAATGTAACACCCATTGTTATACTTAAGCGATCGACAATGTCTTAGCAACAGAACTAAATATCGTACGTGTCCAAAATGTTGAACAATATTACATTTCACAATATATTGTAACTGTACAATTATGTCAGTAAAATAACTTTATAAGAACGTTTATGAAACGAATTGAGATTTGTATAGAACTACTTACCAGCCATATTGTTAAAGTACACTTAATTTCGTTAATCTTATTCCTTATACACTTTTAATATTGTACTGTTTGCAGAATAGTAATGAAGTTTATACTAAGATACGTTTATTTTATCTAATATTTATCTCCAGGTCAGTGTACCAAGTTGAGTGTTGATTTGAAAACGATTTGTTGTATATACATCATTATACAGTGTTTAAGGTTATCAGTTACTTTATAAACTTATACCTATTACTAACTGACAATTCAAATTAAATGAAATAAATTAATAATTATATTAAATCTTATAATTATCTAATAAGTCGCCTGCATACGAGTTGAATACGTATCTCTTGTCAGTCATGTTTCCAATGCCAAACAATTGTGCGTGCATTACTTTGACAATTAGAATCCAAAAAGAAAGATTAGTTTTTGAAATTACTAAACATGGAGGCATATAATAATAATAATATCAAAAATATATTAGAGTACTATTATCACTATTGTTATTTTTATATTATTATAGATATATATTCTCGTGTAGTCTATATAGAATAGGCTACCTCTTCCTTTCCTGAGGGTGTCGTAAGAGACGAGTAAGAGAAGGCGACGGATGGGCAGCAGCGTCCCTCTTAAAACACCTCCTAACCTAGCCTAACTACTGTTGCCATTCGCCTGCCAAGTGTGGCACCCACTGGCAAACTAATAGGTAAATATCTTACTACTAAGCTAGCCAGCCGGCCTGGTATAGAATTGTATTTCAAATTTTCCTTCTCTTGCCCTAATATGCTTTATTTTATATGATGACATAAAACTCGTAAATTATTATTAAAGGGTAAAAATCTAATTTTAGGACAATAAATACCACAAATCATCGAATTTATGTTCTACTACAAACTTGTTATAGTTACATGAAGAAATATCGAATAAAAGTAAGTGGGAGACGACAGTAATACATATATCAAAGTTAACGTGTTAGTATTCATACGGCTCTTAGAGGTTATAGCACAATAAAACATATTTCTGCCAAGTAACAAGATAGTTCGGAAACATTTTGTGAAAATATATCGGAATTCGGCTTACTGATTGTGAGCACATAATATATAGAAGTCATACATTCATACATAAAAAAAAAAACAAGCAACGGATATGAGGTCATCTGAGAACACAATCCACCCCCGATCTAATTTAGAAAAGTTGCATAATTTCGACAAATTAGCTCGACCGGAACTCTCATTTCTGCATAGGAAGGAAAGTGGAATAAAAAAAATTTATATAAATAATAATATATTGTCGTCGTAGAAGAAAGGTATCAAATTCAAAGCATTATTAAAATGTGCAAATCAGAAAAAAATGAGATAAAAAAAAAAAAAAACTGCAACAGAAGCAATAATAATTTATCATTTTTATTGATTAGGTATTATAGTTGTGAACATTATATATTATATTTTTTAAAACTCATCAAACTAAATATTCTATTATTGACGCATTTACAATATCGATGATACAAAATTTTGTAAGTAAAAAACGGACTATATTTAAAATTTGTACTGATTTCTTAAACTTATTAAGAGATACGAATATTTCCTTTTTTCCACTTTTAGATATCAATGTAACGTTAAATTCTTTGACATAATGCTAGCATTCATCCTACACACGACTAACCACTAATGATAAGAGCTCAGCCTAACATTTTGGAATCATTTACGCGGCCATTTACATCGCGCTACGTAGGGTTTTTTTATGGTATGAGTTTCCTTACGAAGTTTGCTCGAGATACTCGTATTATTGTAACATGTGGGTGTTCGAAAAATTGTTCACTTGGGACCAGTATTATTTAGTCATCTATAAATCCTTGGTTAGGTATTTTTATACTTTAGTATTTTGTTGTGTTTAAAGATATTATTTTATCTATATACATTAAATGACTATAACCATATGATGTTTAGTTTCACAGTTTAGTTCCTGATTGTCTAACTTAAAACCTGCAAGGTGACTCTTAAATTAAATTTCAATAGATTGATATTGGAATTGAGACATTTCGTATATACAAAATGCAGTACAAGAAACATAACAGTTCTATATAATTCTAATAGATGTATATTTGTGTAACTTGCTGATGCAAACTGTTGCAAACCGATCTCAATTCTAACGTAATATTTAATTGTTGATTCACGAGTGCAGTACAAAATTGTCATTAGCAATAAATTGGACTGATATTGTTATTACATTCAAGAAAAGACCTGCTGATGTATGTATTATCTTGATTTAATTTAGAAATGATCTCTTTCGTAGATTTTCTTATTTCCAAAATCCACGTATATCGTAAATTTGTAATTTGGTGTACAAAGTTTTAGTGAATTTAACGAGAAGATACTGTATCTCAAAGTAAGTTTTGTCTGTCGTGGTAGTTTATACTTTTGGTTCTTTGATATTGTATCCGTTAGATATATTTATTAGATTATTTATCTACCTACTCATTGGATAACTGCCAGCATAAAGTGGACGTAACATTCATGAGTTTATTGAGCAAAACACTAATAAAATAACTCGTAGAATAAGCTGTTGAATGCAACATTTCGTGCCACTGATTCGAAATCGTTTATATATTTTGTAAGAAATTTGGTGGTAAATATTGGATATTGTGATAAAAATTATTGCATTATAGTTATTATAAAAAAATGAAAGTTTCATTTAATTTATAAAAAAAATACATTACAAGCGTACTGACAATAAAACCTATAAAGAGAGTATAGAAATTTTATAAAAAACATACATTAATTAAAGCATCAGAAAATAACTAAAAAAATATATTCTTAACACAATTACAGAACACATAAATGTTTTACCACAATGTTAAATAATTTAAAAGTAATTAAGATTTTTTACAATTTGTAAAATTTAATAGTGATTCGTTAAGCTATTAAAGGAGGTAACAAACAAACTCACTTTAATATTCATAACATTAGTAAGGATTTTAAGAGTTACCGTTATACTTGATTGTTACTTAAATAGGCAATAGACAGTTTGTCGACACAATTCATAGAATAGTATAATATAATATACTAAATGATGTAATAAATAAAATCCATACTTAATAGTAAAATTATCTCATTTTAAGAAATCACAAAGAAGAAAAAATAAAAATTATTCAGTTTCCCACTTAACTTTATTTCTCAGAATTTCTAATAAAATGACGGGCCGACGGACCAACATCTGAATTGTAAATGTTATTATGTCTGAACTGACATCACTAACCTAGAATCTGCTTATATCTTGCTCGACTGACACCAAATAGATGAATAAATTGTGATATGTGAGCTTTTTATGCTTACGAGTCTTTCTTCTTGTATCTATGCACACAGTGTTGAAATACACAATTTACTTTCATTATTTCTGAATAACAATAATATTTAAGTACTTTAAGTAAGTTCAGTCACTTACAGATATATCAACCTTATTCTTTGAAGTCAGAAGTTATTTCGAATGATTTATGTATCCGGCTCGAAGGACCATACTGGTTCTAAGAAATTTGTATCATTTTATATACTACGTGCAATGAAATAAAAAGAATATTTGTGTTAGCGTAATAATTTTACTTATTAATTAATTATTTATTCTTAAACAAGTTATATACAAAATAAATTTCATTTTGAACACATTATACAATATATATAATACCTATCTACTTACCTACATATAATTATCAATGTTGTGTTTCTACACAAACCTCATTTTACAGAATTAAAATATTTACAATATTATATAAATGTGATATATTGCTACTTAATTATCTATTGCATTAAGTCTCCGAGATACGAATTTGTTCGATTACATTGTATACAAGATATTCCGAGCATTTTCTAGTAGCACTATAAATTTTGTTCTTATTCTTGTAATTGTGTTGACTTACTAACAATCTGGTTCAGGTCTTTTAATTGAATTATTAATGAATTATTGCATATTTATTGCATTGAGATTAATCGTACGATTAATAATACGATTATGATTATTTTTATTACATAAAAGATAAGTTCGGTTAATTTTGTGCTTATTTGAAGTCTAAGTTGAAGATTTGTTATCTGTTTAAAAATGTAAAGTTATGGAAGACCAGTAAAAGCAGTAATATTTGTTTACTACTTTTAAGAGTCTACCATTTAAAATAAAATAAAATATATTAGGCCCAAAAATAGATTATTGATCACTACTTTTAAGTCCACCAATTAAAATTAAAATAAAAGCAATTAGACCCAAAAATAAAAACATTTTTTACATTTTGTAATTCAAACCACACAGTAGAAAAAAAATATTTCACCTAGCGAACTAAGTTTTTACGGTTAAAGTAAATTTTCTTCCGGAAAACCTTTTTCGTTCTGTGTAATTTACGAAAGTTTGGATCAAACATGAACTTATATAAAATCTACTTGACCTTTCATAAAACTTTTTGCGCGGTTACAAGTATTGCAAGAAATATAATAAGACTAATATTTGTACGTTTCATATTACAGTCAAACGTTTAGTAGTAATTATACCTATTTACATGTCGTGTGGTTTTGGCATAGAATGGGCCACTTCTGTCTTTTTCGTGAGTGTCATAAAAAGCGACTAAGATAATGGCGTCCTTTTAAAACATCACCAAACGCCTAATTACGGTTGTCAACCCGCCTGCCAAACGTGACAAATACTGACAAAAACTCCCTTACGGGGAAGCCCTATGGGAGGATATGCAGCAGTGGACACTTAATATCTGATATAAAAAAATAATAATATCTATTTAAATAAAAATTTTAATGTTATTATTAAGAGAAATTTTTACTACGTTTTTATTAGATTACCAAACATATTCATGAGTTTTTTGTAACCAGGTAAATAATAATAGATATTTATATTTACATAAAATAAGTATGATTATTTTTTAATTTTTTTATACCACTAAGATAGCAAACAAGCCGACCCTGAAGAAACCTCGTTACCTCCCCTTTGAAGAACCCCATGCTGTAGTCTCTGGGGGAAAACCTCGGCAGGGAGCTCATTCCACAACCTGAGTGTTTGTGGAAGGAAACATCTCTGAAACCGCGCAGTACGCGACCATTGAGGCTGTAGGACATGAGGATAAACTCCCTGTCGATGGCGAGCCGTACGATGGTAGAAAGTGGCTGTGAGCATCATATTGAACAAAT